AGGAAATTGCGCTGGAAACATCAGTACCCATAAAACATTTAGAAGAAAGTCAATCTATCAAAATTAAGTGTAAATAATTTAAAAATCCAACTCTGATATTTCAACTGTGTAAATGTATTGAATCTGCAACACACTAGTGAACATGTTATTTTCAAGCACAGCTTTGATTATAAAAAATGTAAATGAAGACATTTGAAGTACAAACCAGGGCAAGCAAGAGGAATATTTTACTCATAAAACTAACAATCACAAAACCAACTGGTGAAATAAATGGGAAGTGATGATCAGAAAAAGCAAGCAACTCCCAGATTTGCCAACAATTTCATACCTGTGTTGATCAAATATTCGGATTTCTAAACACATAACAGACAGGAAGGGAAGTTCATTCCCTGCAAAGTGAAATAAAGTAGGATTCAAGTCAGAGTAGCCTGATTGAGGCATCGCATCAAATGTTTAAGGCTGAAAATAATGGTAGGGATAAGTTCAGCCACTGTCTGGTTTTGGGGTTTTTTTTGGTTGGTTGGTTGGTTGGTTTTTTTGGGGCTGGTTTGTTTTGGGGTTTTTTTTGTCCAATAGTTCTCGGAGCGGCTGTGTGCAAGGCACAGATCTTACTTTGGCACTTGACCATCTGCAGCTGCTTCACTGTAGCCCCTAGTGAGTTAGCGTCCATGAAGTCCATCTTAATGAAGTAGAGGAAAGGGTCTTCAGGAATATAAAAGATTTACCCTGCTTAGCATGGAGCTGTGTGCAATGTGAAATAGAGAGCAAGCAGTGCATGTGCTGATATTTGAAGAGCTCCGTGATTTAAACAGCCCCGTCTAAGAGACCGCAAACTGTTTTTGGAGCTGGCTTGGAGGACTGAGCGCTGCAGAGCGCGGTCAGCTCGCTGCCGGTTGTTCCTATAATAAAAATGCTAAGGCCTTGTTACTTATTTATTTCTGCTTCCTTTGAGCTTTGGGTTTACTGGTATGCGAAAGGAAAAAAAAAAACCAAGCATATGTTCGGTTGCTCAATCAACCTTTTCTCAATCCACACTCGCTGATCTCAGTGAGTCATTACGGCATAATTACAATTTGAGTGTGAGACGCTGTTTGTAGAAAAGTATCTATTTTTAGCTGAAGAAACACTACAGTCCCTGAAAGGAGGAGAAAGAAAGAAAAAAGAAGGAAGAAAATCTGTAACCAGCAAATCAATGCTATTGTTAACTGATATTACGAGACACCCTGTAGATTTACAATGCTTGCATTCAGCCACATAAAAACCGCACTGAAAAGAATGCCTACCAGGGGTTAAATTCATATGCCTGCGCTGCAGCCTATTTCTGTCAACACTCAGCTCAGGAAATAAACATGTATGCTTTCTGAAATGAAAGTGTATTTTTGAAGACTGGCCGTCAGATATTTTTTGCCCTTCACACTTTCAAATGCTTAGCCTTTTTTGTAAGTTGACTGCAAAGTGCATCAGTTTGCTAGGCAAAAAGAGAAAAAAAAAAATCTTGACAAGTGCCCATGGCATCATTGTCAAGCACACGAGCGTCTAGTAGAAGATGGCAGGAGGGTTGGCACAAAACATGCTTCCTTCAAGCTTCTTACCTCAGGGGTACCTGACTCTTGAGAAGCCTTTCAATCCTTCCAAATGACGTTATTTCAAACTGTCATCTGGTTTATTTGGAGTGCGCTGTATCGCAGATAAACATGCTATTTAACTGCAGGTCAAGGTACAGAGTCATTCTGCTAGCAAATGCCTGAGACACATTAAATGGCATTGACTTGGGGAGGGAGATGGAAAGAGATCAAAGTTGTCACCAATATGGTACATGCTAAGGGGGAGAAAGGTACACGACATTGTATTTTAAAATGCCATTATGCAGTTCTACATTTAAAACGGTGACCTGCGAGACTCTTAAGGATTAAGGAGCCACACGATGGGGGACAAAGTTCAAAACCACACCATCGTGCAGCATCTCCGGGCGGTTTGGAAAGACCTTACGGTTGTGACTGGGAAGGCTACCACCAGTCCAGAAAGCTGGAAGTCTATTTACGTCTAATTTGGAGACTTTTTGTTTAAATAGTTACACTTTAAAATAGAGCATGTCCACTTGTCACAGAATGTGGCTGATCTAGGGGATTCATATGACAAAAGCTCAGAGAGTCAGAGCACAGTTTGGCTTGAAGTTAAGTGTAACCTCCTCCAAACTATTAAAAATAAATCTCTGCATATAAATACATATACCTGTGTAATCTATTATTATAACTGTGACTTGCTGAACAGCTATTGAACGGGCTTTGGCACGATACAAGAGACATGCTGGATGCTTTCGCATTTTCTGAAAAATCAAAACAAAACAAAACCAGATTAATTACAACTTGATACAGCTTTACATTCCCATGAGAGATGCCTTTAAAAGTTAAAACATAATTTCACTGAGCAGGCTTTCAAGGGAAAGTTACTTCAGTCAGGAAGAAAATAATCATGTTTATCTGATTTATTATTGGAGAGCCAATGTGGTTTATATTTGCCAGTTTTTCTACAATGTAAAAAATTTCTCTTGATTTTTATGCGTCATATAAAAACAATTAGTATATTTACTGCACCAGAACGCAGATTTTTGAAGAGTGCAGTACAATAAATTATAGGCAACATCTCATTTTTCCCCTTCACAGGGCATATGTAATTTCCTTTGACTGTGGCACACAATAAATGTTCTTGAAACGTAGCATTATTTATTAAAAAAAAAACCCAACAAAAAACCCAAACAACAAACCTGTACTAAAACAGATAAGTAAATGAAAGAAGGAAGTTAGGAGTTTTCAGAAAAGAAAAAAAAAGAATAGAGAGAAATTGCAGGTTAAACTTTTTTTAATCAAAAGTGGGTTTATTGCTTTTTGCTTAATTAAACTCCTCAGAAGTGTGTGAAACATTGTTATACCTGCAAATTGTTAATTTGTAAATCACAGGGACAAAAGGGCTCCACTGCAACTTTAAAGTTTCTATGCACGTAAATGTCAATAGAGTGCCTTCTCCATCATCAGCACTAAATTCACATTGATGCCTCTTTTCTTCTCTGTATTGATCCTTCCATGAGAACGTAGATTTGTATCTGTTAATTAATGCGTCCTGAAACAGCGTTTGTATTAATCAGGCAGATAAGAAAAATTGGATGCCTGCACCCTCATGACAACCGTAAAAGTGCTGGCCCTGATAAAATCGTGGATGGACCTCAATAAAAAATTTCCTCCTTCCACTCAATAAACTAATCATCCTGCTTTTAATTATTCGGCAGAAAGATGTGTGGAGATTGGAGAATGTGTAAATCTATTTACTAACAGCAGTGTCTGGGAGGGAGAATGGGGCTGTCACAGGACGGTGCTGCAGGCTACGTTCTCTGTCCATCTGCTACTGCAGAAAAACTGGTTCTTGAAAGACGGGAAGGAACAGAAATGTTGAAGCTAATTGAAATCATGAATTCCTCCCTATAACCTTTCAAATGATTATTTCTTCTCCATTTCCCTCTCATTTATTTTAATCATAGATGTGTTATTTTCCATTGTTACCTCTGCAAGACTATCCTGTTGTTGTTGGCTCAGGTTTTGTTGAGGGGTTTGTGTTTGGTTTTTTTTTTTGAAGCCAGAGAGCTACAGTTCTGTCACAAGACTCACAGACAGTAAGAGAAAATGAAAACAAATAAGGAGGGGGAGAAAAATGAGAGAGAGCGAGCACATGCAGCCAGTTTTATGTTTCATTTTTTATGGATGCCTGGTGGTTTGGAGCTGGAGTTTTCTTTTTTATTGTATTAGTTTTGCTGCTTAGTGCTTATAGAGAAAATCCTGTTTGGAGTAGATGCCTTGCAGATTTGCTAGTTTGTGATATATTCCTGCTTGTCTGTAACTCTCGACTTTCAAAACAGAAAAATGCATTTAAGTGTAATTGAACGCCAAAAAGAATGTTTTACAGCGGGAACCCTGTCAAAGGACATGTAAGCAGCTCCATAAACAACTAAATGAAAGCCTCAGACATGTCTTAAGACCCTTTAAGAAAAGCTTGACTAATCCCCTTTGATGATTTTATTAAGTACTTGTGGTTGATGGTGCCAACTGGCAAACTATTGCATTTCACCAACAGGCCAGGAAAAATCACTTCCTCTCCCGTATTGTTTTGTAGCTCCTAATGTGATTGGGATACTAGCAGTTTGATATAATAAATTAACAGGTACTGTAAACAAGAGTCTGAAAAGGTAAGACAGTAAAGATGTTTGCCCTTAGTCATCCTATTAGGAAAGACAGCAGGGGGGAAAAAACCAGAAAAAAGCAGAAGTTAAATTCATTAAGAGGCATTTATTAAATTTTTGGTTGCCCTCAGAAAAAGGATGGTGTGATTGCTATTCAGTTGGCACTTTAATATGCCACCTTTTTATTTCAACAAGTGTAGCAGAGGCGGGAGCCATTACCAAATTAATTTGCATCTTTTCTGAGAAGGGTAGGTGTTACTTTTCTTTCCCCTGAGGTTAAAGTTCAAAGAGAATTTTCCTCTTTGTGATAATCACCTTAATTCTATTAAAACATCAAATCTTCCTTTTTAATTTTTTTTTTCCCTCTCCTAAATTATCCTTCTTGGTTTATGGTAATGATGAACAGAGTCATCGGATCCCTGTTTTCACAGCATCAGGTTTTAGAACTAAGCGTGAGTATTTCAGAACAAAGAAGACATCATACTAATCACAGACTGTCACTGCAGTACTCCCCAAATTAATATGATTCTCACAGAAAGAGCCTGCAAATTCCAATTTGTTTATAACTTTGTGTGTTGATTAGAAAATGTTTGATTTTACATTGATCTACTTTCCTGTAGTAGGATGGGGAGGAGAGGCACAAAAGCAGAAGGGAGAATAATAGAGTATGTACGTGTTTTATCACAATGTATATAAAAATAAATCGAGGAGTGGAGTTTTGACAAATCCAAACACACTTAATATTTTTCCTGTATTTTTTTTTCCTATTCAGGATTCTCCACTTTGTCTCTAGCTGACCAGATGAGCCTTCTGCAGAGTGCTTGGATGGAGATTTTGATTCTCGGTGTTGTATACCGGTCACTTTCTTTTGAGGATGAGCTCGTATATGCTGAAGATTATATTATGGATGAAGACCAATCCAAATTGGCAGGCCTTCTTGACCTTAACAATGCCATACTGCAGCTGGTAAAGAAATACAAGAGCATGAAGCTGGAGAAAGAAGAGTTTGTCACCCTCAAAGCTATAGCACTTGCTAATTCAGGTTGGCAGAGTGGCATGACAGTTGCTACATTTTTAATATGTCACTTTTTTTTTTTCCTCTCCATAATATTTTCTGCATGCTCGTTTTAAACATGGGTTTAGAATAAGAAATTGCTAATCAGACCTTAGTCTAAAAGGTAACAAACAAAGCAGTTCCAACTAAGAACAACTTTCTGGTTCTAACTAATTGTGGAGTATGTTCCTAAGGGAGTGGAGAATACTGCACTGGGTGATTTGGAGAGTATTTACAGGCAAAGATCCCTTCAAATGAATATAGATGATGTTCTTCTAAATCCATTCCATAACCCAGACAAGTCTAATCATCGCAATTAAAACTAACAGCAAGGATGCATGAGAATATGCTATATACGTTTTCTTTAAAGGCAGCTATTGATTTATTTGGTAGGGGCAATCCAGGATATGGGAGGCGGGAGAAAATTCTTATTTGGTCTCACAAGGACCACACCTTACCCTTCAGATCCTCTGCGTTTATGAGAATGCTTCTGCAAAAATTATTACCTGTGCAGCAAGGGTTAAAAATCTCAGAAAGAATTTTTTTTTCTGCATTTGAATTTAAAAGTGCTGAAGCAGTGAATACTGTCAGATAAGTAAAAATCGTTTGTGCTTTGTTGTTTTTCCTTTTGTGTCTCCTTAATGCTTTATTGTGGTCTTAAGTCCCTTTTAGCATTTGCATAAAGTTCACTATAGATCCCTCTTTAATGACGTGCCGATCATTAGATACCTGTGTGTCAATAACATGCTCTGATGCTATGTTCCATTGACAGTCACACCGTGCCCCTCCATCTGCTTTTGTTTTGACCCTATCTTTGAACTTTATCTTGGTTGCTGGCCAGTAGTTTTCCCTTTAATTACAAGAAGGAAACTGTCAATAAAATCTGTTAAATGGGATGCAATGAGTGGCTTGAATGGGCGGACGGCTATTTGTTCAAATTCTGCAGCATTCAAGGTATTGACAGTTTGTTTTCTGGGGCCATATGTGACGATCAATCTCAGGCTGGGCTCAGCCGCGCTGAAAAATGAAAAACCAGATTGCTTTTGCTTACTTGTGGATGACGACTTGTGATTTGGCGCGGTCCTAGTGAGATGAGACCTTCTGCCCAAATTGCCCCCCTGAGAGCCAGGACGCGTGACTGTTTTTAGAAATAATTTTTTAATTGATTTTGTAATTAACAGTTCATCTACAATATTGATGCATGAATCCTCAGATTGATAGGAGGGAAATTGTTTTCAACAATGAAGTTGTACTTTCCTATTTGTCTTTGTAATGTGATTTAGCACTCTGCATTTTTAATTGGAAATATAATTCAAAAACATGCAAAGCCAAAATGCTTATTAGTCTCTTTGTAAAATGTTCTCCACCCCACTAACTCTGCCCTTAGTTTTAGAATATTATCTTATTTCCAGAATAAGCAAAATGCTGAAATGCCTCTCAAAGATAAAATTATTTTTAATTGAAGATTTATTTGTAATTTTTGACCATTGTAAATAGACACTTGAGGATGCTTTGCAGCTACAAGAAGAATTTTTCTTCAATATTAGTCACGCTTAATGAACAGAGCAAGAAAGTTATCTGGAATTAGGAGTCTAAATTGAGAAGGTTTTTTGTATTTATTTTTATTCTGTAATTCAAAGACTGAATTAGAAATATTTCTATAGTTTACTTGATAAAAAGGATAAGGGGCTAGAATATAGGGATATGGTGTTTAATACCACTTATACCTTCCCCCCCCCCCCCCAAAAAAAAAAGACATGGAGTGTTTAAGTAATAATAAAAGATAATGCTGCCAAAAAAAGTTTAGTCATACGTTATGCATAGAGTGTATCAAAATCATCTGCAGCTTCATTAACTTCGCTGGGAATTATAACCAGGATAATGTCAGAGATAAATACAGTTCAGCATACTAAAATTCAGGGCACATTTAAGTGAAAACGTTTCCTTCTCTCATCTTAAAAGAAATAAAAATGCTGGTTGAAAATGAAACCATTGCAAGGGGGAGTTAAAAAGCAGCCCAGCCACTCGACTTCCCTTTCAGCAGAATGTTTTGACTGCTGACATTCAACTTTTCAGCTTCAGGTTGTACATGCAGCAGATACCAAACTTCTATCAGCTGTAGCTACACTAACCTGTAGGTGTAAAATAGCAGCTGCAGAATTACAGCCCATCAAGAAGAGCAGACCCATAGTGTTTTAATTTACAAATGCTGCTAAAATTAAAGTGTAAGTAAAAACACTAAAGTAAAATATTAAAGTAAAATTAAAGTTTTTGTCTTTTTTAATAGACAAAACCAGAAATGGCTTATTTTCACATACCTATGAACTTGATTAATCTAAATGCAGTTCCATCTGAAAAAAAGAACTAAAATGCCGTTATAAAACCAATCACTTAGCAATTCACATCTTAATATATTTTGTTGCTACATCTGCTTTCTTCTTCTTTCAGGTTTAAAATATGTTAGCCTTTTTGTAGCTGTAGAGAGAAGGGATGAAGTATAGTAAGAAATCTTAGGCGTTTCAGACTTTTTTGCCGTATCTGCAGTGTCTAGAAAGATTCCCAGGTTGCCTCTACTGTAAACAGTAGACAAAGATGGTTTTATAGCTCTGTATCTATGTTAGTGATTTATGATACAGTGTCATAGTACTTTCCCTGCTGGTGTATAGAAGCAGGAAAAGAAATTGTAGATTGTCTTCATATTGATTGTATTTTGTTTAAATAAATACCACAAGCTTTGTTTTGGCCAACAAATCTCAGTATCGTAGGCATTAAAACACCCCAACTGCTCACTTGTCTTTAGGCCTGCAGAGTCTGCTTGCGCAGTACTCGATCGGAGATAATCCTGCCGTTTGGTTTCTAAAAGGTGGGAAGGAGGAGCCGTTGTTCAGGGAGATTCTCTGACGGCCGTTATCAAATGTTCCCTCTGCAGGGCTGGCCAACGCCACGCCGCTTCTCTGAATTTCCAGAAATACAAGTGGTAGCAACCTTGTAGATCATCGTCACTCGTTTCAAACTGAGTGCATATAGCATCTGAAAAGTTTCAATGCATATCTAAGAGCACAAATGTCGTATGGGCATTTCAGTCCTGTGTATGTTAGTCTATGCAGGCATGAGTTCAACAGTTACATTTAACTTGTAGTGCTTAATACGGACTTTACCAGGTTAGTTTAAAATATCTGCAGTGATTTGATAGTAATTAATACAGCCTTTATGCTTGAACTCCAGAGAAGTCCCTCTCATCGTGGCATTGTCCTCGTCCGGTCACTATCCTGAGCTCCTTCCTTCTTTCTCTACCTTCTCTACGCAAAAGCAAGCAGGTACCTTGCAGCTGCAGGATGCGACTGCCCTGCCTTCCGCCTCACACCGCCCAAATGAAACAAGCTGGCACCAATGAGCACTTTGTTTACCCACGCAGAAAATCAGCTTTGAATGGTTTCCAAAACATGCATGTACCAATTACTTCCTCGTGTGTAAGGGAAGGTGAAATATTTACAAAACATGTTTGAAGCGTACACAAGTGTGCACACGCGCACGCGAACGCTCCAACACGGAAAAGCTGACCTGCTCGTCTCTTTTGTATTATAAAATGCTTTCCTGTATCGATTAGGTAATACTAAATAGCGAGTTGGAGGTGAGCAGGTTTTTTTGAAATTGCCTAATCAGTAAGGACTAAATTGTGCCTTCAGGCCAAATGTTGCAGGAGAGCTTAGGAGTCACAACTGAGACCAGATTTTTAAGAGAAGCTCAGTTCCCATCTAAGACCTAGCGTAAGGAACGAGAGTGTCAAAATACATTAGCACGTTTGAAAATCTGATCCGTGTGTATCTGCCTAATAGGCTGCTGGCATCTTGAAAAATCTGACCCAAATGTGGATGCTAGGCACTTAAAAGTATAACCCTATGCACTGTTGAAAATTTAATCTTAAACACTAATACTAGCTGTCTAGCCTGTACCACCAGAAGGAGAAAAGGACCTCTGCTCACCGTCACAATTTCTGGTCTCTCTTATCGACTCTCCTAAAAATAACCCAGCACCCTTTCAGTACTGAAGGCGTGAGAACCAAGAAGCATCTTGTGCGCTTTAGTATAATGAAGCACGGATCACCATTGATGCCAGTAAAGTTAGAAAATCATCTATCCTGATAAAAACATTAGTTTGTTCTTACAACTTACTTAGCTTTCCGGCCACCAAAACAGTGTATTCACAGCACTAGGCTATCACCATTGAAAAATAATATTTTATCATCATAAAAATTAATTGGTAGAACCCTATAAATCACTTATTCCACAGGACTTACTCCTAGTATAGACTGTGGCTTATGTCACAGAATACTGTATTTAGTTTCTAATAATGCCATTTTTTTCACTTGATTTTATTTAGTCATCTTGTTAGTGTTAGAATTCGTGATTAAAACGTATCTCTTGTGAATAGGCATATCTAAAAAATACAATATATACACACCACCTGTGTGTTACCGGTGTGTTACCGATGTTTATTTTGCCAAATATAAAGAGCAAAGTCTGTTAACTCTTTCATGTAATTTTGTACAGAGTGGTACAGCGTAGAAACAAATTTTTAGAAAAGGATGTTGCCACTATAGTCAGAGTTTCGTGTTGCTTGAACACAGTTTCTTCCTCCTATTCCGTTTTCATGTAATCAAATAGATGGCACCACAATTCTTAGACAAAATAAGCAAATGGTAGCAGAGTTAATGGTCAAATTTTTATTTATTTGTCTTTTTCTGGTAGTTGGTCTGGTAAAGGAATAACTTTGAGACGTTGCTCGCTTGGTTATGACATAGGTAGATATTATTTACACGTTCGCAGCCCGAGACTGAGGAAGGGCAAGGAGCGAGGCCAGCCCGGGGCCGGCGGGAGGACGGGGCCCCGGGTTCCCCACTGCTGGCGCAGGGCTGTTAGGGCAGCGCCGTGCTGCCTCTGCCCAGGGCCAGCCCTGTGCTGACAGGCGGACTTTCTGGGTAGGAGAGC